GCCCACATTAATGCATACCATACCATGTTATGTTCATCACCTACATGGAATTTGTGGTTCATTACAAAAAATAGAAAAAAAAGAAATATGTAGTAGGGAGAAAATGTTTCTTATTATAAAAAGTGAATGGCAGACCTTACAGTAAATGCTATATATATATCAGTCAACAGTCAGCTAGTCCAACAGCCTTTTTGTGTGGGTGATGAATGAAGAAAAGAGCATGGCAGAGCTAACACACTAAAAGATGTAGATGTGCTGTAAACATGTGAAACAGAAATGTGGCCTAAGCATCTGGAAGTCTGACCATGGTGCATCAAGATAAAACAGGCTCAAGTTCTCACCCTGCAATGTAGCTATGTGTTTAGCATCTCCACATTTACTTTCACTTTGGTTCTAAAGAGCAATACATCCTAGCTGAATATGCTTTTGCCTTGGACTGTAGGAAAAATACTGCATTTACTGTAAAGTTTCATGATTTTTCATTGTTCTCTTAGAAAAGTCACATACGTTTACCTAACCTATACCTGTTCTAGCCATTTTTAAGTCTAGCCTAGACACATAAAATGAGCTAAAACTGTACAGAGACTCCTGTTTTACAGGCTGGATCTAAAATATCAAGTCTTGCTTGAAAGAAGGAATATTATATATATTGAATTGAACTGCACATTCACTCAGCTTCATGGGATCCCCAAATAGTAAATATGAATTTGTGTGCAAAAGCACAAAAGATCAGACAGGGCACTGAATTAGTAATAAGCTTTAATGATTCTGCTGAAAGAAAATGCCAGAGATAGTTTATTATATGATGTATGAAAGGCAAAGAAGCAGAACTCCTGGAGGAGGTTGTAATCAGCCACTCAATTGAGTTTTGTAAGTGGTTATATGAATGTAATACATTGCTAATTCTCTTGTGCCAAGCATTGAACTGCTTTAAGGACTTTGTGGAATTATTAATGTATGCCTCTCTGAGGTAGTACACAGCAAATATATTCCTGAGTGACTAACTACAAGATGATTCTGAGACCCTTTTGTGTGCATGCACAAATTTGGTTTGAATTTGCTGTTTTTCTGAAACAACCTAAACTTTCTGATGTTCACTTTTCAATAATCCATGACACTTGCAAGGGACATATTAAACTAAAGCAACCGCTATTTAACGCAGGCATATTGATCTAAATAACACAAGTTTAATTCCAGCTTAATCTCATTAAATGACCTGAAAACAAAACATTCCCCTGCACATATGTCAGCATCTTTATTGACCAGGTCTCTGTGTTTCCCATTCAAAAAGAAAAAGAAAATAGCTGCAAAATTACTGCTAAGACAGTAATCCAGTTTATGGAAATCTATTTCTAAATGAATGCAGCTATTGCAAAACTGATGGAACTGAATGAATATAACTGAACATAAACACATAAAAATACATTTTTTAATATAGATGTTATTAAAGTGTCTCCACCTAACAAATTAAATTCAAAATGAAACAAATGAGTTTGCATGGGTGTGAAGGGACAAAATACTAAATACCTATATACATATGTATCCAAAAAACAATCATTGGTACACTCTGTTTCTACGAATTCTTAAGCAGAATTGGTAGAATGTAGAAGCCATTCTAAATTCTATCTAGTCAAGTGACAGACAAAATCTGATACCAACTGACAATACATAATTTGTGTTGCTTTTCTTTGGTATGACAGGCATTTTTGACAGCCGTGTGACCCCTTATTCGAACTCTGAACTTCCAGTTAAACTTTCTTCAATATGCATGACCAGCATTAAACAGTGTTCATAAATATTTCCCCAATGAATAAAACTTTATTTATTCTTCAGTTGCATTTCCTTTTTTCACAGATTTCTTCTAGTGTTTTTGTCTGTATTAACAAGATACACATCCTTTTTTCCTCTCTTCTGCCACTTACTACCATGCATTTTCTTCTAAGAAAAGGAATATGAGTGAGCTTTAAAAACATGAGTAAGCATAGAAAGAAACAATACGTTAAGAACTAATGAGAAGTTACTTGCAAATTAATAAACTCAGAGCCAAAAGAGATCAGAATCTAAGTTTTTTTATTTCCACCATAAGGTTATAGAAAAAATACAATTTTCATCCAAATTTCTGCGAAAAGGTATCATTAGTTTTTTCTGCTTAAAATGGCTTTAACTGGAAAATCAAAGAAGAAGACTATAGAGGTATGGAAGATCACAAATGGAATAGTTTTTAGTGTTAAAAAAATAAAAGAAAGACTATATTATTTCAAGTATTAAAGAAGCTCACATTTGAGATATTTAGCATACAGCACCTGTTTTATGCGAAGTGCCCAAAGCATGTGGGAGATACACACAGATAATATTTTCTAACTCTCTCACTTCACATATAGTTCAACCCTGATGCAATTTATTTATTTAATTATTTAATTCAGTGGAGAAGAAAAGAAACATATGGAATAACCAGGAAAAAACTCCTCAGATCTTCCATACTAAAGTAGTTTCTCCATTACTTGTTTCTCTTTGAGACATCCATTTCTAATACCCTTAACATTTATTAAAAAAAAATCCATAATTTCTTGCCTATTTCAAAGCAAAAAGCTCAGATGAGAAATGCAGCACGTGTCTGCTCTGTGGAACAGCAGTGCAGTAAGTATAGCACCAGAGTTGAAAGTTTCACTCCTTACATATGTTTTCAAGTTTCAGTCCTTGGTATATGGGACATTTTAAAAATTTGGTTATTTGGATTAAAAAGAGTAAAAAACGGTAATATCTTTGCCATTTGCTTCATTGAAACCACTACTTTTCAGGTTTTAGCGGTGTTAGTTCTGCCTTTCTGAGAGCGTTAACATCTCCTTTCATTTAAAAGTGTTCATGTAAGTCATTCAAAATTCAATTGAACATCTATCAACCAAGAAGCATTGATAAATACATGATCAGCTGAGTAAAAGAAACATACCTGGAATGTATATACATAATCATATGCAGCTCCTCATAATTTTAGATCTATATTTGCAGGGTTATTTCTCTACATCTCGTCTCTGCTAGTTTGCTGCATGGCTCATGCACTATTGAAACAAGATTCTTTTAGAGTAACAGCATTATTAAAGCATCTTAGTCCATTTCATCTACTCTGGAACATTTCAATGGCACTGTGATTTAGTAAGAAAAAGCAGTGGCAATTAAGCTTCAGTGGTTTGCAGATGATTTCACAACATAAAATTAACTTCTAATGTCACAGATGAGAAGTAGATCATCTGAGTATATGATACCATGAATTAAACAATGCAATATTAATAATGAATGCATCCTATAAAGGTTATTTTAATCCCAAGCTACTCTGCAAATAAGACACAAGTATAATATGACAAAGTCGTAAAATTAGTTAGCACTTTTAAAGCCTGTAGTTTTAATTAATTTCAGATTCAATTTAAAAAAAAAAAGATATCAGTGTATTGTAACAATAGGATTATGGGCACTTTGTCAGGCCTCTTGCTGCTGCTACAGACAGATACACAATCTCCTACTACCTAGGTCTAGTAACAGCTGTTTGTGGACTACATTAAGCTCCTTGCTTGACTTTTATATTCAGTGATTCTTACAGTCAGTGGAAAGAATTTGACAATCCCAGAAATCAATTCTGCCTATTTATCTCAAGCCTGTATCTTAGGAGTGATAAGCACCATCTAATAGAGAGGATTTTTTCTTTTTTTTTTTTTTAACCAACTGTGTAATGAAAACTTGATGATCTGAAACTGGAAGAGATAGGGTGGGTAAAATTTAGTAGGTTGTTGAATTGCATAACATATTCTACCAGGAAACCCTATAGCCTTATTGAATCCTTTTTCCCCCCTATATATTTTTTTATCTTAAGTTTTATCAAATATTTTTTTTAATGTCTTCAACATTTAGTCTATCATTCCATCCCACATCTGCGGCTTTTTCTGATCCATTCCTTCTTGCTGTTCTACAGCAATACAGTATGAGGAAAATGTTATTCCAGAAATTTGCTAAGGGATTCTTCACTGACTGCCCTTTATTTATGTTCAGTTGTCCACAGTGGGATTCATATTCCCCTCTTAAACATCAAAACCACAGAAGCCAGAATCTGGGATAGAGTCCTTAGTTTTCCTATATAGTTAGGAGAGAAAAATGGGCACTTAGCACAATTCATGCTGTCCTAACATATATGTCTAAAATAATTAAGACAAATGCTTTCCAAAAGTAGATATTTCTTCCATTGACCATAAGGTGAGTTTAGGATGATTGGCTCAGCTATAGATGTCTATACAAAAATATTTGAAGTTAGATGTGATGAATTTCTCTCTATCTCTAAATTATTACAGTTCACAGTATATTTGTTTTAGCTACATTGCTAAAAGCAAGTACTTTAAAAGTGATAAGACACACATAATATCATGTTACTATGAATTTTAGTAAATGTCACAAAGTTTTTAAAAGTGAAAGTTATAAAATGGAAACTTAGAATCTGAACACAATTAGAATTACAGAATTGAGGCAGTTTTACTGTTTTGACATGAGTAAAATTTCTGTTTACTTGTTGTGTGAATGCAGTCGCCTTAAACAAAGAAGTTTTCATGGATCAGTGTTTGGCCGAACCAAGGTGCAAAATGCCTATAGAACTGGGTACATGACTATATTAGATGGACAAACTCAGCTGGTTAACTAGAACTAACATATAAAACATATAAAAGTCAGAGTAGTCAACTAACAATTTTTCCTGAACTGATTTATAGCATACACACTGAAATTTCAGGTCTACATCCTTAAGAATTTGATACTAATTTTTAAAAAAATAATACATAAAATATATATTACTTTTTTCAAGTAAATGTAAGAGCCAAGGTATAGGAGGGTATGCACAACTGCGCTACATTTATTTTAAACGACACTTTTTGTTGCAATACGCTAAAAGCTATTTACTACTACGTGTAACAGGTTTTCATCCCTCTATGAAATGTGTTTCAACCATGTAAGAACACCCTACTCACTTGCCATTTAATGCTGCTACTCCAACAGTGCTTCTGGCAATTGACATACTTGCCACAAATGTCCACTGCTGACTTTGAGGATCCCACCTCTCAACCGTATTCAAATAACTCCAACCATCATGTCCTCCTACTGCATATATAGGCCCTTCAAGCACTGTAACTCCTAAAATGGAGGAGAGAGAGGATAAAAGTATGCTTTCTTTATTAATAGTAAAAAAACAGTTTTCCAAAACACAGATAACAAAAGAACTTGCATATTCAAAGTGAAAATGGATGCACAAATTTGAGATTGATTAATTAAGGATTAACAAACATGAATAAAATTAATGCCACTCCACATGACTTTATGAAAAATAGGCCTTCTCAAAGAAATCTAATTCGATTCCTTAAAATGGTCGTTAGATTCATAGAATAACCTGCCAATGATGTGATAGTCTTAGATTTCTATATAGTGTTTAACTTACTACATCATGAATTATCTCTTTAGAATATCACTAAAGCACAAAATAAATAAATAATGGACTGGGTACCAAAATGATCTCAAATTTTTGCAATCTAATGGAATTGCTTCTACGAGAGTTCCATAGGGAAGAGAAAAAAGAGGAACCAAAACAATATATTCAAAGGCTTCAGCAAGTCACTTACAGTGAGAAACTTTATCTGCCTCATCAATTTACCTTTTCAAAAAAGGAAATAAAAAGAGACTGGGTACCTTCACAGGAAAGGAATGTTGGATATATAAGAATTCTTTTATCTAGTGAAGGAAATTATAAAAAAATGTAAAGTATGAAATTTGAAGTAGGAATAATTTAAATAAGAAATAAACTTTTAACTATGAGGGTTTTTGAGCACCCATTCAAAGGAACTGATGAATCCTCTATCACACAGTACCTTCAGTTAAGCTTAGAAGGCTCTGGAAAATTAAGTAATTGTTAAGCACAATTTGTTACAATACAGTGAGCTCAGTAATTCCATTCTATGAATCCATGATTCCAAATAAGTATTGTTCTGAAAAAAATCTCAGGCTAAATTGAATCTTATTCCTAAGTCAGTGTCAGTGTGTTGCTTTGATTTTTTTTACACTCCCTTTCACGATTTAAACTCATCAAAATCAAAAACCAGTCAAACGTTAAAGTTTCAGAGAATGGGTTTATTTATTTTTTTACAGAAAACTATCTTTGATGTAGAGCAATGTAAAGTTACCGCTAGAACTGTGTCTTGTTCCATTTCAGAAAAGGAATTCATTCAAGGCATAATTTGACTTTAAAACCATAATAATTGAGGACTTTGACCAGCTCTCATCTCGATGCTCACAGAAAGTATTCCTGAACTTCGTGTGTTGGTTTTGGTGGGTTTGTTTGTTTGTTTGTTTTTATTTATTTGGGAGGGTGTGGTAGTTTTTGGTTTTGTTGTTTTGTTTTGTTTTTTTTTTTAGGGGGCGGGTTATGCTAAAGAAAGAATTTAAAAATCCTGCTAATCTTTACTGAAAGTTTTCTTCCTATAAATTATGAGCTTTATCTTTCTCTATAGAACCTTCTGTGAATTCATTCTCCAATTGCTTCTGGTATGAAGTGTCTTGCTTGTAGTTGCTTTTTATTCAATCACATTTCAGCTATAATTTTTCCAGAATATTAAGGTGAGTATTAAATTGAACTCATAATCAATATCTTACCTCAGAATGCAATCAGTAGCAAACATGTGGGAAGACATGCTAGTATTCACATAAGGAATCAGGAGGTAATATGTTGTCATTATGTGGGTTTTTATTTTTGTCGTTTTATTTTTTTATTATGTTTTGCAGGAAGCATTTTTTGGTTGGTTGGTTTGGGTTTTTTTTTTTACTCTAATATCTAATAGGTATAAATGTTCTTAAATCCTGAACAAACAGTTTTACGTTGTCAAAAAAAAGTGTTTGCTATAGTTTGCTATAAAAACACCATGCTCTTTATCTTTTTATGTATGTAAAAGTTTCCCTTTAACTTAGTGCAAAGTTAAAGGGAAAATCAGATTCTTGCTGGGATAAAAGAAATAATCAAAGGAAAGTTTAGGTGTGTGAATATTTCTGTACACACAAATCTTTGTGTCCAGATAAACACACAAACCCTCTCTCACCACACATAAGCAGAGTTGTATTATTATGAATTTCACAGTGAAACACACCTCACTAGTTTTGAAATTCTGACCTTTTACTTCCTTGAATAGCTTATTTGCGCCTTCATTAGGAAATAAAACATTGTCCTCAATTTATGTTTTTTTAATTTCATTCACCATTTCATACTTTTTGTCATTTCATTTCATACTTGAGGTTCTTTGTCATTTTTTTTCCTGCTGTAGGTTATCACAGAATGATAGAATAGTTAGGGTTGGAAAGTACCTTCAGTTCATCTAGTTACAGCCCCCCTGCCATGGGTAGGGACGCCTCCCACTAAACCATGCCACCCAAGGCTCTATCCAACCTGGCCTTGAACACCTCCAGGGATGGACAACCTGCCAGGTTAAGACATCCCAATTATTTCAGTCACTTTTTGTAGAAAATCTGCTTTCCCCATTCTTCCCTCATTTTCATGGATTTTTAGTTTTGCCTTTTTTTTTTTAAATGACTAAAAAATAGTCAGGTCATTGCATTAATGCAATGGATTTTCTCTCTGCATTGCCTGTTTTACTCTTTGACTGGGCTTTATACAAAAAATAGTCTTCACTGACTTCTCTAAAATAAGCATTTGTTATTTATTATCATACAGAACTCACTACCTATTAAACTTTATTTACTGCAATAAAGATGCTTTTGGGCAATATGTATAGTCTTGATTAAAAAGTGTCCCAGCTACAGCTAAATGGTGTCAACACATTGCTGCTCATCAGTACAATCTGAAAATAAAACAATTTGTTGAAAACACTAAAAAAAATTTTCAGTCAAATTGAACAAACAGAGGAAAAAAAAGAAGAGGTAAAAAACACAGGATAGGAGGATAATAAGTTGCACTACCGTGATGTTACTGTATACTGGGAAGAACAATTTTTCCTACCTGAAAAATAATTCTTCTAAGCATTTAGGCTTAGGGATTTATGAAACCAAACTGTGTTATTTTTTAGATAAATGATCTAAAAGTGAATGTTGTCCAGTGTGCAATATCAAGCATTTTCCCTTTGATTGCCTTCCCAAAGCTATGTAGCAAAAACCCTATTATGTCTAATTAGGTGTTGAGATCTGTACAGTTTAAATTATTTATACTTGGAGATTGGAATGGGATTTTAAATTGCTTTTCTGTGATGTCACAAAGTAATGGAACACTGCCTATCATATTTCGAACTCTACCTTTTATCTGGGTGATAGACTTTCACACAGTAAAATTTTAAAAAGTGCCAGTTTTTACAAAATAACAGGAAATATAATTTCATACTGACACCTTTGGATATGAAATGGTAAAGTAAAAATGGACTAGCTTTACTGTAGTGTCTGCATTTTGGTATTTGCAGAGACAGAATTTTAACTGGGAAGGATAAACTTGTACGCAAAGACTAATTTTTTTAATAAGGAAATATTTTTTAAGAGAGCAGACATATGTTGTAGAATGACACTAAAGGTGAGGAGACAATATATCAGTGACTTTTTATCAAAGTATTAAACTTGATTAAGTAACAACCAGTCACCACTATTTTAAGCTTTGAACTTATTTAGTTTCCAGGTAGCTGTAAGTCTCTAACAATCTCCTTTCTCACCAACATCTACAGAAGGATGCCTAGATAATTCTGTATTAATTGCAACTAACATTGCTACTTTTCCTTTCTCTGTTCTTGCCTCTTTATGCTTTAAACCATTTTTTTTCCATATTACTGCTGTCAACATAAAGAAATGTAACGATAAAGCCCAATTTGTTTTGAACTATACATCAGTTAATTAAACCTGGTATTGAATTTCCACAACCATAATCTTAACTGGGTGTGAAATACAAGTATTGCCATAGGCCAAGCTGAGAATTTAGTGTATGAAAACTGAGAATTAGACCTTACCTACCTTCATTAGTGAATATTCAGAGATAAACTGTTGAAAATACCTCTTCCTATGTTTATTCACAGGCAGGTATCAAGGCTGATTAAAACAATTACAAAGTACCCCTGCCCTCTTGGGCAAGAAGATACTATATAGAAATGTTAATATAATGCAAACTTATAGAAGTAAGGATTGGCCTGCTGCCTTTTTATTTACATTTGGTTTTCTAGATGCAACACCAGATTCTCAAGTCTGCCACACTATTATCCTGAGAACATGACTCAAAAATTATTATAAGTGTTGCCATTATGATTTGCAGCTCTTTAGTGAATTGGGTCATGATCTACTACTTACAAAGGGTGCAAAGTACAATGATAAGGTACTTAATGATTCAGAAAAAAAATATTGCTGTAATATTCCCAATGAATAGGAGAAAAGTCCAAAGCAAAAATGTAACACATGCCAATCAATATTGGAGAGAAAATACTTTAAATACTTTAAAAGACTTAGGTCTTCTGTCAACAAACAGCAAAAGCAGTTAGAACGACATATTTCCCCTGAGAGTTCAACATTAAAAAATAACAGTAATTTAACTACATAGAATTACATGGTACTAGTCAAAACAGCACAAAAGAGTCTCTAATATACAAACTGTTGCTTCTGAAGGGGTAAACAATACATCTATGTAAGAGCATACTGTGCTCTGGTAAGCTGAAGAACTATTCACTATACTTAATGCTTAGATGATTATAGGTTTGGGGGTTAGTTTTTCATTTGTTTTTTTTTGTTGCTGTTTTTCGGGGTGGGGGGGAGGTTTTTTGGGGGAGGACTTGGGGGCATGCACAGAAATCACCACATAAAGAGGGGGAACACAGATATCCAGCACAGCACTGCTTTGTGAGATGCTGATATACCTGCAAAACTTACCATTCTAGAAAAGAAAGATATTTCCTACAGGATTTTGACACAAAGAATCTTTCTGGGACACAAAGAATCTTCCTGTTTTCCATTCCAGACATACTGTTAAATTAATGCTAGTGAATAATCTTTTGTACAAGAATGTAGAAGGAGAGGGAAAAGATTAATGGTGGGCATTGGCTTTGGTTGGGATAATTAATTTTCGTCATAGTAGCTGGTATGAGGCTATGTTCAGGATTTGTGAAGGCAACACTGCTGATAACACACAGTTGTTTTAGTTACTGCAAAGCAGTGCTTACAGAGAGTCAGAGCCTTTTCTGCTCCTCACCCCACCCCTCCAGAGAGTGGCTGGGGATGAATAAGTATTCGGAAGGGGACACAGCAGTGACAGCTGACACCAACTGACCAAAGGGAAATCCCATACCATATGACATCATGCTCAGTATATAAAGCTGTGGGGAAAAAGAAGGAAAAGGGGGACATTTGGAGTGATGGTGTTTATCTTTCCAAGTAACTGTTTAGGTGTAATGGAGGCCTGCTTTCCTGGAGATGGCAGAATGCCTGCCTGATGATGGGAAGAGTGAATTAATTTCCTCATTTGCTTTGCATGTGTGTGCGGCTTTTGCATTACCTATTAAACTGTCTTTACCTCAACCCACAACTATTCTTACTGTTAACCTTCTGAGCCTCTTCCCCTTTCCACCTGGGGCTGAACTGCTGGCTGGGGTTAAACTACAACAAGGTGGAAACTGTTTCTTCTTGTTACACAAATAACAAAGTAGTGGACATTTTTGTTTGTGCTCATGGAAGCACATAAGCAATATAGGACTATGTCTGTTATGACTGAAAGCATTGTTTATGATTGCCAATATGTCAAGGTCCAAAAGCATCTCAGATTTCCTGTATAAGCAGAATATACTGCAGATGTGACATGCACAGAATGAAGCAAATTCACAGCTCTGTTGTTTCAAGTTTGATTTGATAAATGTCACGGTCATTTGCTCGTAGTGTCTAAATATTCACCAGTTTAGCTGTCTACAAATGGAAATATGAAATGTCATGGCCTAATGCAGTAAAATTTGGTATTATACATGTGTGGTTGTATGAAGGGCTGTATTATTTTCAGTTGTCAGTATGCTCTAACAAAGTAGGATCTGGAAAATTTTCCTTTATCCAGTGTTCTAGCTTATGTCACTGTAGCAAATATTCTGCAAAAAAAAATATATCTTTCAAGAATTCTTTTTAAATAGTTACTGTGCTTACAGCTCTTTTTTGAAACAGTAATTAATCATAAATAATAACAGTTTTAACATACCAATAGCGTATAAGCTGCTATAAGATTGGTCTGTTGGTTTCAAAGCTAATACAATTGTCCTCATTTTACTGACAGTTCTTTCTTCTTGCCTTTCATCTCAAGCCTCCTGTCCATAAGGACACTGAAGGTTTCTATCTGCCTTGATGTCTGAAACAGAATCTCAGATTCTCACACGTCTGTTTATTCACTTCTGTTTTTTTTTTTCTCCACATAGTGGTTTATTTTACATACAAGTACATATATAAACTTTGGGAATATTTTGCTGTAAAACTTTAAAAAGAAAACCAAGCCACCAAGACAAAACAAATCCCCTATTTGTCTCTTAATAGAAGATGTGAATTTGTCATTTTTGCCTCCTCTGTAACCCATTAATGGTGATACAGAAAAAGAAAATGTTATCCTGTAAGTGAGCAGATAAAGAAGAAAAAGAATCCCCTTTATTATTCACATTGTTTATTGTTTCTTTTACGGTTACCATGGATGTAACTGTTATGGTTGTATTAAGCTTTTATTTATATTCCTAGTCTACATAATGTTTTCTACTATGCCTTAAATATTTTCTTGATAGATTGTAACTCTATAGACAAACATGTATTTATTGGGACTCAAACTCAATCTAAAATAACATCATTGTTTAACTGCCATGGCAACAGTTTTCAAAATAAAAGATGAAAATTAAACTCTCACTGACTTGAAAATTAACTTTCAATCTAGGTCTAAAGAGTGGCATCATTCATAAAAAAAAAAAGAGATTCAGGAAGCAGATTTCCAGTTTGCACTCAATAATCTTAGTTGTACCTTGAGAGGCAGGAACTGCTCCAAGCCACATATTATTTAATACTAAACTTTTTTTTTTTTTTTTAATGGAAATGGGACTGTCACCTCATCTGTTCTATTCCATTGTATATATGCCTACTTAGGGGGGGGGAATCCTACCCTAATCGTTAGGTCTCTAAAACTGTAGTCTGTAAATATGTCTTAAGCTATCACACATGCTAAAAAATATTTGTTAAACAATATTTTTTTTAAATATTAAAATTCTTTGGAAAGCATCTCATTAAAGACAAAATATTGAGACTATTTTTTATTACAAACTGAATTTACTGAAATAATAATTTTATGGGATTCCTGGGGGAAAAAAAAAAAACAAAACTAAAACAAAAACATCAATTAAATTCTATTAGGGAAATTTCTTCTCAGGAAATAACATATCACGACTTCTGCACATACAAATAAAGAACAAAAGCACATCTCTACTGCTTCCCAAACAATTGCATTTAACCATTTTCATATTCACCAATAAAATCCCAGTTCATAATTCTTTCCTTGTTTCACATTTTGCTTACAAAAAGCCCCAATTTCTGGAATATAAAACTCAGAAGTGTGTCCACACAAATAAAAAAAAACGCTCAAGTGGTCAAATGACTTATGTTCCATTTTTAGTCCTGTAGAAAGCATACAAGTTTTTCTTCAGTCCTAACTTTGTCATTCCTGAACAGCTTTTCTTGAACTATTAAGGTATTTTTTTAAGTTTACTAAAAAAAGTGTCTATAGAATTATTGATCTAAAATGATACATATTTTTGAACTGATCACAAAGGGGTTTTGATCATGGCTCTACAGAAACTAGGAAAAGTTTGGGGCTTTTTTTCTTTATCAAGCATTCCTTAATGATTTATTAATACTTTCCTGTGTTATAGCTGAAGTTGTTGCATTTTCACCACCACTAGGAACAGCAGGAACAGCATTGAAACTAAAAACAGATTCTGTAAAATTCTGGAACACTGGTAAAAGAGACATTATATGTATTTCTGCAGCATTGTTATTAAATTTAATCTTAGGAAACAAAACTGAGCTATTTAGTTCCACGATTCTAACGACATATATTCTCATCACTACTTTTTATTGTGAGAAAGACAAGTTTAATAGCAAAAATGCATTGTGCCAGCCACTGTACAAATGCATATTATAAGTTTAAAATGGTGGGGAAGGGGAAGAATCTTCATTTTGTGAGATATTGACACAATAGTACATTAAAGGACTTGCTGTTGTTTGTCATTCAGGGGAATGGACATCATAACCTAGCATGTTTTTTCCATTTCTATTTTTCATGATGTAATGATTCTGTCACACCCAAGTGACTTCAGCAGAACAGCTAGTGAGCACATTTCTACTGATTTCTGTACCTTATAGAAGTTATATTCTGGTGGGTATGTCCTATATATTCTAAAGTCCTTTCTTTAAGGAAAAAAAAAGAAGAAAAACTCATAATTTTATGTTTAAGAATAAAACAGAATATTTTGAAACATCACATAATTATTTATGTAGTCAAATTAACTGAAGCTTTTTTCTACCAGATATATATATATATGATATATGCAATAGAAAACCATATAAATGTTTTCTGCTTAATTTAAAAAATAATTTTAAAAACAACACTAAATGTATATTTGTTTGAGAACAAATATACAAACGTATATTTGTTTGAGGAGTACAGTGTGGCTTGATCAATGCTGACAGTGCTAGATAATATTGCTAAAAAACAAACCAACCGAAGACAACCCAAAAAATCCAAAACCAAAATAAAACAAAGAAAAACTCCAATTTATCTGAAAACAGGCTATGGGAAAATATGCCATCGGTCATGATAAAACTATTGTTACAAATACTTTGTAAAGTAAATAAATCCATCATTGGTACAGTGTTTATAGCCTTTATTTCCTAGCATACTACATTAATGAAAACATACGATTTGAATAAAAATAAATAATACCTTGATTGCTTGATAAATATGTCCATTTTTGAAATCAGTGCATATAAACTTGAATTTTCTTACCAGCCTAAACTACCTAAAATTTCACTGTTTTGTCAGTGGGTTGTTTTTTTTTTCCTTGTTCGTCTGCCTTTCATTTGTTGTGGCTTTTTTTTTTTCATTTTTCCCAATATTATTTTGGTAAATAATACAAACGTACTTTAACCTTATATATATTCTTAGCAATCAACAAGAAAAATTAACAATGCAATCACTTATTGCTACTGTTCAGAGTGCTGTAATAGCTTGAAAGTGCTGTTTTCCATTACAAATTACATAGCTGAAAAATCTGGCATCTTTTTTATATTTTTTTGTCCTTACCTAAGCCATGCCTATGTGTTGACATTGGTGGTAACACAGTCCAAGCCTTGGTCTTTGGATTGTAACATTCAACAGTGTTTAATGTCTTTAAACCATCACGGCCTCCAATGACAAACAGCTTGTCATCAATGACGGCAACACCAAACTGAAGCCTCCTGCCATTCATCACTCCAGCCTGAATCCAGATGTTTGTTCTGAGATCATACTTTTCAATAGTTGTAGCACCTGATGAGACATGATAGAATAATAGTATAATGTATACCAAATGCATACAAAATTGTCATTAGCTTATTTTTTTTCTTAAAAGTGTCAAAATTTTAATATTAATTTCTGAGTACTTCCAACGTCTTGAAAAATATTTGTTTCTTTATATAAAGTAGTCCCTGGAATGTGTGTGTATATATATGTGTGTGTGTGTGTGTGTGTGCATATATATATATAACTTTTTTTACAGTTCAGTGGCATACCTAAGATAACTAATCTTGTTACTTGATTCCAATCTTACATAAAGTGTAAAAAAAAATCCTGTAAGATTACATGATATTTTCATCAAGAATTAGAAGTTGTATTAGAAGTTGTCCGTAATTTATTTCTTATTTTAAGTACTCATATGTAGGTTTTTTTCAGACATGTTTCTGCTGGAAGTACAGAACGTATTTACAATCTCAAGCAAAATATATAAAGAATGTTTCCATACACAGTCAAAAACTTTTCCTTCTGAACTTAGTTATTTGAATTACTCCCACAGATGAACTCAAAAGCTATAAAGAGCATTACATATAAAGTAACTTACCAGTTAATCATGAAAAAGTCATTAAGAAGCCTCTGCTGTTAAAAAAAAACTTGTATGAAATATACAAAGATGAGATATAAAATGAAGAGTTTATTAACAAAAACAAGGGACAAAGGAAGCATAACTAACGTAACTAGATTTCAGAAAGTGAAAATGTAATGCATGCCATTAATTGTAATATGAGTGTAGGAAAATTTAAAGCAAAAGCACAAATATTTAAATGCAGATGAGTTTAAGTTAATCCTTAAAAGCAACACTTGATAGCTCATCTGAAATGTAACCAACATTTTATTTCTAGATAAACGTAAGAGTGCTTCATTTTCAAAGTTTAAATATCCCTAAAGAAAGAATCAACAAAATTATTAAACTTTAACAGCTAACTATTTGGATTATAATATAAGGTTAGAATTCCATGGGAAATAATTCTTTTAGGATTCATAGAAAATAGAAAAGCAATGAACCAAGTGCAAACAAACATCATGAAAGCAATATTTTTGTTAACTGTTAAAAAGAGCTTTAATTTAAATTCAATTTGTATATAAGCACAGCAGAGCAGCAATAATGTACAATTCCACTGGGTGCCTTAAATCCCCTGCTAGTTTCATGAAGCCATAAGATATATGAAGCAATTTTTGCATTCAATTAGGAGACATATTTATTTTTCTTTTTGCCCCTAATTTAAAATTGAGAACCATGTGAATGTATTAATCTTTTGGTTTGAAAGAACAAAATTACAGATTATCTGATACATTTGTTTGGTGGTGCTGCAGGACATATTATAATGATGTACATTAATAAAATTATGCTATCATGCTTGAATTTTTTTATATGTGGAATCTATTAATGTTAAAAAGTAGAACTTCAGCATATGAGTTCTGTAATGCTGTCTATTTCCATGGTAAAAAGTACAGTTCAAAAGCTTGGTCGTCATCAACACCCACCTCTACCTTTCAGGTAGTTGTAGAGAGCAATAAGGTCTCCCCTGAACCTCCTTTTCTCCAGACTAAACAACACCAGTTTTCTCAGCCACTCCTCATAAGACTTACTTTCTAGACACTTGTTATGGATAACCCCAACCAGCAACAAAGTACCATGCAGCTGTTTGCTCACTCCCTGCCCCTAACGGGATGGGGAGAAGAATCAGAGAAGAATAATAAAAAATACATGGGTTGAGATAAGAATAGTATAAGAATTGAAATAAAGTAAAATAATAATGATAATGGTGATGGTGATGGTGATGGTGATAATAACAATAATAATAATAATCATCATCATCATCTGGAGAGAGGAATAAGCCCCCCAAAAACCCAAGTGATGCACAATAAAATTGCTCACCATCAGCTGACTGATGCCCAGACCATACTCGAGCAGTGATCAGCGCCTTCTGGCAAATTCCCCCCAGCTTATATACTAAGCATGACACACTATAGTGTGGAATCCTTTTGGCTAGTTCAGATTACCTGTCCCAGCTGTGTTCCCTCCCAGATTCTTGTGCTCCTACTCACTGGCAGAGCATAAGATAACTGAAAAGTCCTTGAATTAGGGTAAGCACTACTTAGCAGCAACTAAAACATCAAGTGTGTTATCAAGATTATTCTCAGACTAAAGCCAAAACACAGCACTGCACCAGCTCCTGGGAAGAAAATTAACTCTCTTCCAGCTAAAAAAATAGAAAAACCCTTCACCAGGTTTGCTGCTCTTCTTTGGACACACTCCAGGAACTCCGTTTCTTCCCTGTAGCGAGGGGCCTGGAAGTGAATACAAGTATTCCAGGTGCAGCCTCACCAGTGCCAGGTACAGGTGAGGCTTCCCTATACTTCCCTAGTTCTGCTAATACAAGCTACCTGAGCACAAAGCTGGCTCATATTCAACAGCCTCTTGACCTTCAGACTGGGGATGAAAACTGGCCAAAATTTGTGCAAAAGTCTATTAATTCCATATCCTTCGTTGTGGTTGGCTGTTCCTTGACTGTAGCATACAGAGGATTAAGATTCCCATAACAGACAAACCTCTCCAAAGTTTATTTTTCTTTGGAGAGTGTGATTTTAGAAACAAAGCTTTCAGAAGACAAAGAGGCTGATGAGGTGTCAAAAATTACAGGGAATAGGAATTTTACAAGAAAACAGTCCTTTACTAGAGAAACCCAGATGAACTGAGTGGAAGTGAAAAAGTAAGTTAGCAAGCACTTTTTCACTTCACAATACACAGCACTCTTGCAGCCTTTTTGATCCTGATCTACATATCTTCTGTGCTTCAGTCTCAGCAATTTGGAACTGACACCACATGGTCCCCTGGAGGGTGCAAAATAAGGGGCATGATTTGTGGAGAGATGATTGGAGATTTATGCAGAGATCATTGTCCTCTCTTCAAAGTATACAGAGAAACATTCACAGCATTTTGATTCCTGTTACAGGCATGCTTGACTGCAGAGGATACCTTAAGACGCAAAAAAAATCTCCAGGAGCTCACATTCACCTCCTTAGCAGGTTACATATTAGGCTGCTTTGGTGAGAAAAAATTGTGTGCGTTCCTGTAATGCACAGTGACAGGCAGAGCTTTTCCAGAGGCTTGATCTTCAGAGACATCTTGAAAATCCTATTACAGGGGTTTTTGCCTTAGAGCGGCAGAAGGCCACATTTGGTTTTAGTATAGGATGTTTCTCATCTTAATCTTGTCCTCATACTAGCTGGACTCTTTCTTAACATTAACTTTGGGCAACTGCCAGACTTCAGCATTCATTTTCTGAATAAGCCTTGTAAATCTTCTTCCTGACACTGATCAACCAAACTGTTTCTTTAGTAATATCCATATCAATATTAGAGAAGAGATTCAGAGCAGCCCTGTGGAGAAAGACTTGGGGGTGTTGGTCAATGTGAAAATAAACATAAGCCAGCTTCAGTGTGCGCTCGCAGCCCAGAAAGCCAACTGTATCCTGGGCTGCATCAAAAGGAGTGTGACCAGCAGGTCGAAGGAGGTGATCCAGCCCCTCTACTCTGCTGTTGTGAGACCTCACCTGGAGTATTGTGTGCAGTTCTGGTGTCCTCAATATAAAAAGGTCATGGAACTGTTGGAACAAGTCCAGAGAAGGGCCACAAGGATGATCAGGGGACTGGAGCACCTCCCATATGGAGATAGGCTGAGAAAGTTGGGGCTGTTCAGCCTGGAGAGGAGAAGGCTGCGGGGAGACCTCATAGCAGCCTTCCAGTATCTGAAGGGGGTCTATAGGAATGCTGGGGAGGGACTCTTCACTAGGGACTGTAGTGATAGGACAAGAGGTAATGGATTAAAAATTAAATAGGGGAAGTTTAGATTGGATATAAGGAGGAAAATCTTTCCTGTTAGGGTGGTGAGGCACTGGAATGGGTTGCCCAGGGAAGTTGTGAATGCTCCATCCCTGGCAGTGTTCAAGGCCAGGCTGGACAAAACCTTGGGTGGCATGGTTTAGTGATGTGTCCCTGCCCATGGCAGGGGGGTTGGAACTAGATGATCTTAAGGTCCTTTCCAACCCTAACTATTCTATGATTCTATGATTCTACGATATATCTCTCATCTCTCTTCATGGTCCAGTCCCCTCCTTGGACTAGAATTGGATAAGCACCAGGGTTCTTCCTTATCCACAACCTTTTCCAGAAACCCTTCTTTCTAAAAGCGAGAAATTTAGGTTACAAACTGGAATAACATCATAAGATTGTCCAACTAAACCTCTAATACCAGCTCCCTCGGACTGTGGCCACAGCATGCACCAGCTGCTGTAAAGACAGTAAGCTTGTGCCCTGCAATAGTCCTGTCATACTGTCAGGAAACAATTTCAAAGAAATGAGAGCCACTTTGTGAACTGCAATGTGCACTCCACTGTAGTAGGACATCAGACATTTGTCAGGGTAGAGCCTGAAAGTAAGGAAGTGATGCTAAGGTGAAATGCAACATCAAAATAGAGGTATACCATATAAATCTGTCAGATAGCATCACTGGCTAGCATCACTACATTTTTTTATCAGGTGAGAACTTCAATGTAACCATGACTTTAGATTAATATTATATATATATATATATATACACACACATTTTTATATATATATAAAATGAATACATTTTATACAGAGGTACATGCATATATTTTTTAACATACATATCAATTTTTATCTGTAAACAGGGAAAGCAGAACAGATTATTTGTCTATTTTTAAGTCTCTATTCTAGAGATGATAATAACAGGGATTATAAGAGTTGCAATTTTTTTCTTCTAACATTGATAGTGGGTGTTGGTGTCTAGTCCCTGATATACTGGAGTGACTAGAGCAATCGAAACAAGATGAACAGTCAGAAAATGAGTGACTCATCAATCCAACTGACTTGTCAAAGTGCATCAGAAAATTGCAACAAAATCTCACTGCACAAAATTCTAGGAAAGTATACTAGTTATAAATACATCC